CATCCCAGCCGTATGACTTTTTCTTTTCTTTTCCTTTTTTTTTTTTTTTTTTATTTTTTTTTGGAGACAGAGTCTCACATCCCTGGCTCAGGTCCCAGGCTGGAGCCAAGTGAGCGCGATCATTCCTAACTCATAAAGCTATTCTTCCCAGGTTCACGTCCATTCTTCCTGGGGGCCTCAGCCGTTCTCCAAGTAGCCTAGGAATACAGGCGCTCGGGCCCACTGATCTGGCTTAGAATTGTTTGGTAAAAATTTTTTAGTAGAGACTGGGCGGTTTCACCGTTGTTAAGCCAGGATGGTCTCGATCTCGCGTGACCTGGTGAGTCCGGCCCGTCTCGGCCTTCCCAGGTAGTGAGTGCTGGGATTACAGGCGTGAGCCACCGCGCCCGGCCAACTTTTCTTAATGATACCTTTGTAGTAAAAGAGTTTTTAATTTTAATCAAGTTAACTTTTTTGTTTTATTGTTCAAGCTTCTAGTGCTGTGTCTTAAGAACTCGTTGCCATAAAGCTGTTCTCTTACCTTTTTTTTTTTTTTGAGATGGAGTCTCACTGTGTCACCCATGTTGGAGTGCAATGGCACGATCTCGGCTGACTGCAACCTCTACCACCTTGGTTCAAACGATTCTTCCGCCTCAGCCTCCCAGGTAGCTGGGATTACAAGCGCACGAACCACGCCCGGCTAATTTTTGTATTTTTGTGAAGACGGTTTCACCATGTTGGCTAGGCTGGTTTACGTTTTCTTTTAGAAGTTTTATATTTTTGGCTCTTATATTTAGTTTGTGATCCAGTGAGTTGATGTTATGTATGTATGTATGGTAGCGTTCTTTCCTGTCTTTTTTCTTTCTTTTTGCATATGAATATTCAATTCTAGCTCCATTTAATTTGAAAGGATTGGGCAGGTACCTTTGAGCAGTGCAAGTACAGAGCGGCACTGCCAGCAGTCAGACTACACGCGGTAGAGAGCCGACCGTGGTGAGCATGTTGGTGCTCGACAGTGAGCTGAGAAACGATGGACGATTACGGAGCGCGCTCGTCTCCAGTCACCGTTTTCTGGAAACACCGTCCGCCAGGGCGGGGCTGTTCCACGCCGGGGGCGGCGGTGGGGGGTTGTTCCACGCCGGGGCGGGGCTCTTCCACGCCGGGGCGGTACTACGACTCCCAGCATGCACCTCGCGGCTGGCCCTCAGTGGAAGCGGGAACCCAGGCGGACCTGGGAGTGTGGCAGCGAGGAAGGGGCAAGCCACGGACTGTGGAGCCGAGACTCGCTCCCGCCACCCTTTCTCGAGGCTGTGGCCTCCGCGAGGGCCGAGCGGGCCGCACCGCCGGCCGTGCGACTGCCCCAGACACGGTCCCCGCTTCTAGCCCGCCTAAGCCTACCTGTCGGGGGTTGCTGACTCGTTTCCTCCCCGAGTTTCCCGCGGGAACTAACGCTTGAAGAGGACCAACCGCAGCCCAGAGCTTCGCAGGCCCTGCCAACCACAGGCGAGGTTGAGAGCCGGGCGGGCCGCGCTGAGAGAGCGTCCCATCTGTCCTGGAAAGCCTGGGCGGGTGAATTGGGACCCCGAGGGAAGCAGGGGAGGTCGGCGGGGTGCGGAAGTGCCCAGGCCCCTCCCCGCTGGGGTTGAGAGCTTGGGCGTGCCAGCTTCACTCTTCCCAAGTCCGCTTCAGGTGTCTGGGCCCAGCCTCGGCCACCATGTCCCGCCAGACCACCTCTGTGGGCTCCAGCTGCCTGGACCTGTGGAGGGAAAAGAATGACCGGCTCGTTCGACAGGCCAAGGTAACACGGTTGGTGGCACCCTCGCTTTGCAGCCCCAAGATCCCTGAAAGCGGGTTTGCAGTGGATTTACCCCGACCGATGGGGAGGGGCTGAGCTTGACCAAAGAGCCAGAAATGACTGGAGAATGCATCCCTTGCCACTGCTGCAAGGGGAGAAAAAAGGATTCATCCTCAATGACAACCCCTCCCTCATGTGGCAGGTGGCTCAGAACTCCGGTCTGACTCTGAGGCGACAGCAGTTGGCTCAGGATGCACTGGAAGGGCTCAGAGGGCTCCTCCATAGTCTGCAAGGTAAGCAGGTCCTCCCCTTACCTGCTTACCTTGCAGACTATGGAGGTCAGGTAAGCAGGTAAGGGGAGTTCCCCTCCTCCATAGCCAGAGACTCATCTGCTCCTGCATTTCTGGCATCGACAAAATTACTTAGGGGGCAGGGAGTCCTGTTTAAGGCACAGAGGGGGCTGGAGTGAATCATCTTTGTACAGGCAAATCCCTCTCTTCCTTACGCACAGAGTGGCATTTGAAAAATGATTTCCAGGATGGTCTGATCTGGATAACTTTTTTGCCCTTTCCAGAATCTCTGTCCAAAGGTTGGGTTCTTTTTTTTAATCCTTAGCTAATCGGCTGGAGGGTGGGTTCTTTATTTTGGCCACTTTTGGTTGGAGGGGGGTGATCTCTGGGTTGGTATCATATTTGGAGGATCTTCCATGGGGGAGCAGTCTGTAAGACCAACTTTGTTGCTCCAGGGCTCCCTGCCGCAGTTCCTGTTCTTCCCTTGGAGCTGACTGTCATCTGCAACTTCATTATCCTGAGGGCAAGCTTGGCCCAGGGTTTCACAGAGGATCAGGCCCAGGATATCCAGCGGGGCCTAGAGAGAGGTGAGGGCCAAAGATTGTTCCCAATTCCCCTGCCAGCTTCAGTCTGGGTTTAAGTTATTGCAGGGGGATGGGAGGATCAACAACATCTGTCACCTCCATGGAGAGAGGTGCCCTTCTCTGTGCTCCTCAGACCAGGTTGAGGTATTATTGTGACCTTTGGGGTCCTGCAGGAGAGGAAAGCTAGAGTGTGTGGGGAGACGGAGGATGAGGTCCTGCCTCAGCTGTGTGTGTGTCTGTGTGTGTGTGTATACTCTACAGTGCTGGAGACACAGGAGCAGCGGGGGCCCAGGTTGGAACAGGGGCTCAGGGAGCTGTGGGACTCTGCCCTTCGTGCTTCCTGCCTTCTGCCAGAGCTGCTGTCTGCCCTGCACCGCCTGGCTGGCCTGCAGGCTGCCCTCTGGTTGAGCGCTGACCGTCTTGGGGACTTGGCCTTGTTGCTAGAGACCCTGAATGACAGCCAGGTAACAGGGAAAGTGACCTGAAGCTGAGGGTCTCCTCCTTCCTTCCTCCTCCTTTCTCTCCAGCTGCAGTAGCATCATCATGTACCGGACAGGCGGCTGGGTTGGTGGTCAGAAAATCTGGATTCTCTCTGGGACTCTTGGGTGACCTTGCCCTGGTTGGTCTCTCATTGTGGGGATTCTCTTAGGAGTGTTTTTTAAAAATGGGTCAGGCATGGTGGCTCATACCTGTAATCTCAACACTTCAGGAGGCTGAGGTAGGAGGATCACTTGAACCCAAGAGGTGGAGGCAACAGTGAACTGTGAGCTATGATCACACCATGGCACTCCAGCCCTCTAGCCTGGGTGACAGAGGGAGACCCTGTCTCAAAAAAAATAAAATTTTTTTTGGGGGGATAGGGATAGGGCTCTAGTGATCTTGCTGAAGTCACCTCTCAGCCTTAGTCTCCTTACTGGTAACTCAAATATGGTCCTTGCCCTGAGTGAGGAGCCATGCTAGAATAGATCATCACTGCCCCAGGTTTTTCTTTCTTTTTTAAATCCTTGCCTCATAGCTGTCTATCTCTTAGAATTGGGGGAAACCATAGGCATTATGCATAGCTTCTTGTTTGTAAGGGGAGCTGAGGCCTGTGTCCTCAAGGATCAAGAGGACCCTTGAGCTCAAGGTCTAGCCATGATGGAGATAGGAGAAGACAGGGAGGTTGTAGGCTTGGAACTTCTGGTTGTCCTTCTTTCCCCAGAGTGGAGCCTCTGAGGATCTGCTGTTACTTCTGAAAACTTGGAGTCCTCCAGCTGAGGAATTAGATGCTCCGTTGACCCTGCAGGATGCCCAGGGATTGAAGGATGTCCTCCTGACAGCATTTGCCTACCGCCGAGGTCAGCTAGCAACCTGACTCATCTCTTCCTCTCTTAAGTGGTCCTCCAGACTCATGCCCTCTCTCGTACCATTCAGTTCCATGGGCTTCTTAGACCCTTGTCCCCCATCATGACCCCTGCTCTATAGGCCTCTCCAAGCTCACACCCTGATTGTCCTCAGGTCTCCAGGAGTTGATCACAGGGAACCCAGAGAAGGCACTAAGCAGCCTTCATGAAGTGGCCTCAGGCCTGTGTCCACGGCCTGTGTTGGTCCAGGTGTACACAGCACTGGGGTCCTGTCACCGTAAGATGGTAAAGACAGTCCTAGGGTGGATTGGGGAAACCACAAGCATTATATATAGCTTTTTGCTTTGTAAGGGTAGCTGAGGCCCGTGTCCTCCTATCCCTCTAGGGAAATCCACAGAGAGCACTGTTGTACTTGGTTGCAGCCCTGAAAGAGGGATCAGCCTGGGGTCCTCCGCTTCTGGAGGCCTCTAGACTCTATCAGCAACTGGGGGACACAACAGCAGAGCTGGAAAGTCTGGAGCTGCTAGTTGAGGTAGGGAATTGCCAGATGAAGATATAGGGTGGAGAATTCCTGAGGTGCTTGTGTTGGGGTAACTTGACTAGTCAAGATCCAAGTATAAGGAAGTATGGTTCCCAAAGATTATAGATACAATTTTTTTCTTTCTCTTTTAGGCCTTAAATGTCCCTTACAGTTCCAAAGCCCCACCGTTTCTCATTGAGGTAGAATTACTACTGCCACCACCTGACCTAGCCTCACCCCTTCATTGTGGCACTCAGAGCCAAGCCAAGCACGTACTAGCAAGCAGGTGCCTACAGACGGGGAGGTGAGGTTCCCCTTGCTCACCTGAGCTTCTCTTCCCACTTCTGATGCCTCCCCTGGGGTGTGACTCTGCTTTTGTTCTTGTGACTTGGGGGATGAATGAGGCAGTGGGAGGACATAGGTCGCCACTACTCAGCCTCCTACCTTGCTTCTAGACCTGAACTGAGGACTCTTCACTAAGACATTAACCCCCACTATCTTTGACACTCTGAAGTCTCTTCCCCAGTCAATTCTGTAACAGGTAGATCTATACTGAGCCAGAATTGGAGCCCTAAGACCTTCCCTTCCCCTCTCCTCCTCAGGGCCCATGAGCATCCCTCTGTTAGCTAAGAGAGAACATTCTCAGGACCCTTGCAGGGCCCTGCTAGGGCCTAGGGTGAGGCTTATGGGCACTGACTCCTTAGGGCAGAAGACGCTGCAGAGCATTACTTGGACCTGCTGGCCCTGTTGCTGGATAGCTCGGAGCCAAGGGTGAGTGTGTCTTCAAGCTTCTCTGCAGTGGGGTAGAAGGGTTGGTGTCCCCTTTGGAATAGAGGGGGATTTTGTTTTTCCCTCTTTTTTTCTTTTTTTTTGCAATTTTTTGTTTTTCCCTCTTTTCTGTCTGTCCAGTCTGGGGGCCCAGGACTCTGCATAGTAGCAGAGCCTGGTGAAGAGGTTGGGGATGGTGGCTTATGCCTTTGAAGACACTGCCTCTTCTTCCCACTCCAGTTCTCCCCGCCCCCCTCCCCTCCAGGGCCCTGTATGCCTGAGGTGTTTTTGGAAGCAGCGGTAGCACTGATCCAGGCAGGCAGAGCCCAAGATGCCTTGACTCTATGTGAGGAGTTGCTCAGCCGCACATCGTCTCTGCTACCCAAGATGTCCCGGCTGTGGGAAAATGCCAGAAAAGGAACCAAGGAACTGCCATACTGCCCACTCTGGGTCTCTGCCACCCACCTGCTTCAGGGTCAGGCCTGGGTACAACTGGGTGCCCAAAAAGTGGCAATTAGTGAATTTAGCAGGTGAGCCCGGGGTCCTAGAAGGGATGTGGAGGGATGATTTTGTGATTGGGACCTGAGTTGGTGAGCTCCGTGTTCACCTACTCACCCTAGAGTTTCTGAAATTGATTCCTCTTCACCCCTGTTCCGTGTCCTACTTCAGGTGTCTTGAGCTGCTCTTCCGGACCACACCTGAGGAAAAAGAACAAGGTGATCTAGACTTTCAGTTTTCCTCTTACCTCCTGGAAGTGGTAGTGGTGGAAGTGGGTTCGCTTTAAGGTGTCCCAGCCCACCAGGAGACTTAAGAGAAAGGGACTGTGGACACAAGAAGAAATAGAGGAGGATTTAGGGTTTTGGTGACTGAGGCTGGGAAGACACTTCTTGATTTTGGGAGTGGTCCCCAGGGGCAGCTTCCAACGGTGAGCAGGGATGTAAGTCAGATGTGGCACTGCAGCAGCTTCGGGCAGCCGCCCTAATTAGTCGTGGATTGGAATGGGTAGCCAGCGGCCAGGATACCAAAGCCTTACAGGACTTCCTCCTCGGTGTGCAGATGTGCCCAGGTACGTATACTTGCATGACATCAGCTATGCGTAGATGTGCAAGGACAGAGAAGCCCATGGGAAATACTTGGGCATAAGTGTACGAGTGATGTTCTCAGATAGGAGGGGTGATTTGGGTTGTGCTATATATACCTAGGGATATATCCAGGTGTTCAAACATACACTGTATATGCAGGGCTCCCAAGAGTTCCCTGGTTTCCCCAATATCCTCAGACACAAAGACCATGACTCTGCTGGGGTGGGTTGCACAGAAGTAGGGGGCAGATGATGGACACTGGGATGGGAATGGTTGTGAATGATCTGCCCCTGCTTCCATATGTGAGTGTAGGCAAGATACTTCCTCTCTCTAGGCCTCAGTTTCCCTTTTTATAAAACAATGCCTAAGATTATGTTAAGTTCTAAGATTCTGTACTCTGGGCTGGGGCTACAGGTAATCGAGACACTTACTTTCACCTGCTTCAGACTCTGAAGAGGCTAGATCGGAGGGATGAGGCCACTGCACTCTGGTGGAGGCTGGAGGCCCCAACTAAGGGGCCACAGGAAGATGCTACGTGGTGAGGCTCAGGCCTGCTGGCTTGGGGCTGAGGGGCAGTTGGTGTCCTAGAGTCCTTGGACCTATTGTGGGTGGTGAACACTGAAAGAGGGGGCATGGCTGCCCAGCTTTCTGCCAATGTTTCACCCTTAGGCATCATCCTTCTTGCTCTCCAGGTCTCTCCCCCTGTACCTAGAAAGCTATTTGAGCTGGATCCGCCCCTCTGATCGTGATGCCTTCCTTGAAGAGTTTCGGACATCTCTGCCAAAGTCTTGTGACCTGTAGCTGCCACGTTTCCAAGAGCTTGAGCTGGGGCCCCATTGGGCTGTCTCTCTGTGGGGAGGGCTTTCTGCTTCACCATCGTTAGGAATGTGACCATTCCTATATAATTCCTGGACTGGTGAGGTTGGTGGTAGGCCTGTGAAATTTGCCCTAATTACTACCATTCTGGTTTTGGAGGAAACAATCTCTGCCACCACCAAGTCATTGGCTTCGCTCGAGGCACCTTTCTTCCTGTTTCCCCTTTTCTTTTGTCGAGTAAAATTTCATATTTATCTCTTGTCTGCCTACTACATATACTTGGGTGGGAAGGCTCATGATCGTCTAGGTCAGTGCTAGTTGTCTATGATGCCCTTTCCTGACATCGTCTACCTTACAAACTTGAAATCTGGGTATGAGGAAAGGGCTACAATAATCCTTACTTAGGAGGCAGTGGCTTTAGTCCTTCACATTGCCTAAATGCAGAGCCCCAAAGCCCAGGACAGTGACAATGAGTTGGGTCTGAAGGGTGGTCTAGATAGGCTTCTCAGTACAAGAGCAGGTAGCTGATAGTTAGAGACAGGCAGATTTCTCTCAGAGTGACTCTCATTCCCTTCCTAATTCCAAATTCTAGAAATTGGACTCATCTCAGTCAAATGTGTCTCTGTGGCTAGAAGGTGAAAGGTGAATTGAGTCGGCATACCACCAACAGCTGCCTGTTGACTGCAAACAGGGACCACTGTTATTTGAGGCTTAAGGATTTTCAAGTCCCAACATACGCAGTTTTCTTGCTAATTTGGGTTCTACTGAATTGGCTGTGTGTTCTGTGGTTGTCCTTTGACTTCTCTGGATTTGAGTGCCTTATTATAATGTATTAACATTAACGACGGGAGGAAGAAAGGCACAAGCGCTGAGAAACAGCAAAGGTATGGGATTGGGGTTACCAGAGGGTGCAATGACAATGGGGTAGGAGTAGGGTGCTAGTCAGAAAGTTCAGAGTAGGGGTGGTTGGAGGCAGCGTTGAAAAGGAGCAAGAAGGGTCAGGGTGGTGATGGCATCTTAGAGGATCCCCAGGTTTTGGGAAAAGATGGATGTATACGTTACCACAACTGGACTAGACTAATACAAGGGTTCAGTCTATTGTGCCACGTTCTTCTAGGAGGATAAACTCCGGAGCCAATGACCTGGAGCCAAGTGGGAGAGTCCGCCTCTAAGGGATTAAAGGGTCTCCTTTCACAAGTCGATCTCGCCCTATTCCTTTCGTTGATTGGCTGAGAATTCCAATCCGTCGAGGAAGCGTAGCGTTGCGGCCAATTGACGTGGCGTTACTAGGCGTGTCGCATCACTGAGGCGGGAGCCAGGCGGCAAGCGAATTTCCTGATTGGTTGCGATCTGCGGGTTGCTGGGGAGAGGCACGGAGAGGCGGGCGAGAGTCCGCAGGGCAGACGCTGATTGGCTGAGGTGGGAGCAGCTTCCCTTCCGATGATTCGGCTCTTCTCGGCTCAGTCTCAGCGAAGCGTCTGCGGCCGTCGTTTGAGTCGTCGCTGCCGGTGCCACTGCCACCTCGCGGATCAGGAGCCAGCGTTGTTCGCCTGACGCCTCGCTGCCGGTGGGAGGAAGCGAGAGGGAAGCCGCTTGCGGGTTTGTCGCCGCTGCTTGCCCCCGCCTGGGAGAGCCGAGCCCCGGCCCAGTCGGTCGCTTGCCACCGCTCGTAGCCGTTACCCGCGGGCCGCCACAGCCGCCGGCCGGGAGAGGCGCGCGCCATGGCTTCTGGAGCCGAGTGAGTGTGCGCGCGCCGTCCGCTTGCTGCGGCGGCGCGCGCCGGGACCCGCGGCGCTGGGTAGGCCCGGCGGGGCCTGGCCGTGGGCGCGTCAGAGAGGTGGAGACCAGGAAAGAGGGAAAGGGAACTAGGGAGCGAGTGAGGGGCGGTGGACCTGGCAGGCCCGGCTGGGCCAGCTGCGCACCCGCGCGCCCCCTAGGCGGGGCTTGCGCTGGGCCCGGGTCGGAGCCTGGGGCCGGATCGTGCTGTGTCATGCAGGCCCCGGCCCGCCCGATTGGCTCCCTTGGAATGGCCGTCCGGGCCTGATGAGGTCTTCCGGCCCACACCGCCGGCGCGGAACCCCGGGGCCTTGGGGCGCCAGTCTGCCGTCCGGCCTACCACCCGCCGAAGGCCTTTGGTCCCTGGAGAGAGCAGGCCCCACGAGCCCGAGGCCCCAACCGGGCCCGGTGGGCGTGGACTTTGCGCCATGTGAAGGCCTCAGGAGCCCTGCCACCGAGGCGGAGGCCGGGGTCGGGGAAGGCCGGGCGAGCTCAGGGAAGCTCACAGCCGCCTTTTTGGAGCCGGGTCGGCCGGTACAAGGTGGGCATCCTCTGTGTGTGATCTGAGTAGTGAGGGACTGTTAGGGAGAGGGCGAGCCCTACCTTTCGCTTCTGGTGTTCTTACTTTAGGCCTGTTGTTCATATTAGAAAGTTTGAGCCAGTTTTCCTTAATGTTATGATTCGTGGGTGGGGAGAAAAGAATTTTTCTTTAACATTTTAGGTTCTTGGTAAAGTTGGAATCTCAGTTCGTGTTTTGTGCGCCTTTCCGTATTTCCAGCTTTCGTGGTGTGCAGTTTAGAGTTGCACTAACTTCTGAAAAACAAACGTGCGCGCACCGCTTTACCCAGGTAGCTGTATTGAGAAATTATCCGGGCTATGGGGCTTTCTGACACCACCTCCATCCTTCAAGGAAGCGTCAGATAAAACTTGGCTACCTACCTCAGCCCATTCAATTTAGAATAGAGCTTTTAGAGGCTGAAAAAAAAAAAAAAAAAAACAACCAGCCCAAGGAAACTCTTCTATGCAAATTACCTTCCTTCCTTGAAGAGAGTAGTTTTTTGAGGTGTGTTCCTTTTTCTCAAGTTTCTGAATTGGGATAAAGTATTACTCAGTTGCTTATTTAAAAGGGTCACTTACTCTGAAAGTGTTCTTTTGGTTTATATGCAGTCAGCCTTTTATTTTCAAAAGTAAAAATCTAAAATTCTTGGAACCTGGAATCATCAGCTGTTTCTAACTTCTTGGTCACCTTGATGACTCTTAGCTGAACCCCCTCCAAGTCCCTTGGAGTCCCCTGTGCAGTTCTGGAAAGGGATTGACTCATACAGAAGACAGTGGGGAATGGCCCCAAAGAGTGTCCAGAACTGCTGTTGGCCCATGGTCAGGCTGAATTCACTCTTTTAGAGACTAACACCTCTGATCTCACTAGATAGATGGGGAATTAGAGGCTTTACCTTAAGAAAAGGGCATACCACTCATCTCCAGAGCCAGAGTCTTGGCTATCGCCATCCTACTGGGATGGTAGGCAGAATGGAGGTTTTCCTAGGATGCAGCTTTGAGATTAAAATACAAACTGTTGGCTGGTCACAGTATCTCAGGCCTGTAATCCCAGCATTTTGGGAGGCCGAGGCAGGCAGATCACCTGAGGTCGGGAGTTCAAGACCAGCCCGGGCAACAAGGAGAAACCCCATCTCTATTAAAATGCAAAAATTAGCCAGGCGTGGTGGTGGCGCACACCTGTAGTCCCAGCCACTCTGGAGGCTGAGGCAGGAGAATCACTCGAACCCAGGGAGGCAGAGGTTAAAGTGAGGGAGATCGCACCACTGCACTCCAGCCTGGGCAACAGGGAGACTCCGTTTCAAAAAATAAAAAACTATGATGACTAGAGGCATCTGGCATTTTATTTTTCTCCAGTCCCAGTTCTATAAGTCAAGCAAGAAGATGGCAACCCCTGAAAGAGTATTTTGATGGGACAGGAGTGGGAGAGTTCATGGGTTTACATTGCTCGCAGCTGTCGCATTGAGCATGCTTGGCCTCCAGTGTGTTGATAAGCATTGGGAAAGTCTGCCTACTCAGCAGCATCGTGCCTAGAGTGGCACACTTTTGGAATGGGGGAAGCAAATTTGAGCAGAGGAAACGGTCATTAGAAACTGTCATTAGAAACTAGTTTAGAGGCAGTGGTTAAAAATGCAGCCTATGTGTGAGGGTTAGCAGAAGGCCTACCATTTTGTTCGATGAATGGGGTTTGTTTTTCTCTTGGGTGTATCAGGACCCAGAGATGTAAGAACCCCACAGCTTCCTAGCTGAGCACAGTGTCTTTTCTCTGTCTTTTGGAAATTGTGAGGATATTTCCAATGGGAATACTATTTTGTGTTGTTTTGTTGACTGCAGTATCCCCAGCCCTTAGAACAATGCCTGACACATAATTGACACTCATGAATTTGTTGAATGAAGAAATTCCTTTTAAAAATTTATTTTCTTTGGCTTCCTTCATTGTCTAGCCTTCCTACTTTGGTTAATGCTTATGTTTTCCTGAGCCTTACTAACAGGAGGCAGCTCTTAAAAAAGAGAGAGAGAGTGCTGGGTACGGTGGCTCACGCCTGTAGTCCCAGCACTTTGGGAGGCCAAGGTGGGCAGATCACCTGAGGTCAGGAGTTCGAGACCAGCCTGACCAACATGGTGAAACCCCATCTCTAGTAAAAATGCAGAATTAGCTGGGCGTCGTGGCACATGCCTGTAATCCCAGCTACTGGGAAGGCTGAGGCAGGAGAATCACTTGAACCTGGGAGGCGGAGCAGAGGTTGCAGTTAGCTGAGATCCCTTCATTGCATTCCAGCCTGTACAACAAGAGCGAAACTCCATCTCAAGAAAAAAAAAAAAAGAGAGAGAGAGAACTTGAGTCTACTAAGTGACAGCTGGAGATGGGCTAGGTAATAAGTTGGTGTCACTGTCTGGTGAATGACCCTGTCTTGTAGGAAATAACAAACTGAGTATAGACCCAGTCAACTTTGATTTGGATGAGAGGGATTTGTATTTGCACAATGTTTCAGCATGTCTTGGTTTTGGTTTTTTGAGCCAACTTTATGGAATTGTGTGCTTTTGCAGAAATTACTGTGAAGTTCCTTTTGACCTTGAGCCTCTTTCTGGCAGTTTCATGTCTGTTAGTGTTGTTTCCAAATATTATGGTCTTTATGCTTGGCATTCCTTTGGTACTATGGAATGCCCTGGCATCAGTAGGTTTAGCCTATAAGGAGGGTAGCGCCAATAATTCTGCTTCATTGTCCCCAGGCTTGCTTGGTAGGACTTGAGAGCTCCCTGAGCCTCAAGGGAAGTTGTCTGGCTTACTTCATTCCCTGGAAAGTTAGCTTATGTTTTATACTGTTAATCATGGTGACCGTTAATACCATGTGCCAGCTATTATGTTAAGCATTTTACATTCATTTTCTTCCTTAAGACAATAAGCCTCTGAGGTAAGTATTAT